TGCCCAAAGAAACATTCTACTCAGCCTCCAAGCAGGAATCTTTGCTCCTACCTTAAACTACTATATGCCAGGCTCTTGTTTCCAGCTCACAAAACCACCTGAGAGGCCTCACAGTGCTAATAGGCCAACTCTCTGAGAAGGGTGGTTCATCTCTTCCCTTATTCCAGATACCCCCTTTGCTCATTTCCCATGGAATTTCAGGGACACGGGGAGCATGGGATTGAGCTGGAAAGGAGAAACTTAGGGAATGAAATGACAGAACTTGCTGGTAAGAGGGATGAAAGGAGCGTCAGAACCAGAGATGTGGGGTCCTTTTCAGGATACTTGGCTGTCTGTCCTTTCTTTTCCTGGATGCACAGTTTGCTTCTTATTCTTACAGGCACCTGCACAAATATAATTTGAGGACAGCTCCAACTTGAGGACAGGACAGAAAGATAGGTATATTATGTTTTCTAGATCTGGTTGATAACAATGGGATGAGCTCAGGGACTCTCTTGATTCTACTGTGAGATGGCCAGGCTACAACTTTATTACTTAGCTCCATAGGCTTCTACCCTGGAGAACGACAGTAAGATATTTGTTCCCAGGTTTAACATAATTCAGAGCCAAAGTCCAGTAATCTCTGTCCTAGCCTAATCACCTGAGACCACAAGGAATAAACCTGTACTCCAACAAAATCAGGGTTATTGATCCATTACAACGAGGGTGATAACACCCCAGAACCATGGGGTGTCTCACCAAACTAAAGAAAATATGAGTTATTATAGTACTTTGGGGAAGGGTAGAGTTTAAGTGAAATTTAAATGAAACAGTGTTTTAATGGGCATGTAGCAAAGTAGGGCTGTGAGTAATGGGTCAACATCAGGTCTCAACTGTGATGTACACCCAGGACCATTTCCTTCGGAACCACAAAATTGAGATAGGTATAGACCATGGTCTCCAAAAACTTTTCTTATATGAACTGGGTTGTAAATCAAGGCTACCTCTCTATGTCAAAGTGACAGATCTGCCAGGAAAAAGTAGTGTTCTATTCTTACTACTGACATGTTCCATTAGTCTATAAGAGAATAAAGTTTCTCAGTAAGAAAGCAGAGGTGAAATTTTATGACATTCTACAGCAGCACATATCACTGGCAGAAAGTTTCTTATTAACTTTACAGCTGGTTTTATCTGTTATTCCAGTCTAATAAACAGCTTAACAGATTTTTCTTTCTCCATCCAAGATGTTATCCCCTTATCCCTAAAAAATGTGGGTATTCCTGTCCTCTGATGTATAGTTACCCTGGTAAATGGTCGCATTCCCTTTGGCAAAGGGAATAAGATTTATAGCATAAAATTTGGAAAGGTAACAAGGTCTGAAATCTGGCTTCCTCTTGTTTCATGAGGTTCTGGGTCTGTGACATGGCTCAAGCCTAGGAAGTAAGTGAAGGTCCATGACTATTGTGCTGATCCAAGTCAGGTGTCTCTTCAGACTTAATGACTCACTGATACTGACAGAGTAATACTTTAGTAGGCAGTCTACCTATTTCAGTCCATAGTCACCATCATCATTACCCAGGGTCAAAACCTCTAGGGTCAAACCATTCTCATTACTGTTGTGGTCCTGGGCCTGTTACAGTGACAACTTCCCTGTCTATGACAGGGTTACATGGTGCCATATGGTCCTGACCATTCCTACTGAGTTAAATCTCAATCCCAATCTCTCTCTCTCTCTCTCTCTCTCTCTCTCTCTCTCCCCCCCCTCCCCTCCCACCCCCACCCCCCGTCTCTCTCTCTCTCTTTGACATGAGTCTTGCTCTGTCACCCAGGCTGGAGTGTAGTGGTGCGATCTTGGTTCACTGCAACCTCAGTCTCCTGGGTTCAAACAGTTCTCCTGTCTCAGCCTACTGAGTAGCTGGGATTACACAGACCTGCCACCACATCCAGCTAATTTTTGTCTTTTTAGTACAGATTGTGTTTCAACATGTTGGCCAGGCTGGTCTCCACCTCCTGACCTGCCTCAGTCTCGAAAGTGCTGGGATTACAGGCATGAGCCACTGCACCGAGCCTAAATCCATTTTCCTATCAGCCTCTCCTATTCCCTTTGATAGTCACTATAGAGTCTTTCCTGGATATTACCATTCCCTCACCAATGCATTTCTCAAAGCCTAGATGAAAGGAGTGCCCTTTGGCATCTCCTGAGCCTCAGAATCCATTCTCCATTATAAAATCAGGCAATTTGGCATGTCAGCCTCACTCAATGGCCATGACCAAATACAGAACTCCATCTATAAAGTGCAACTGCAGCTAGCACAGTGAATCCACAGGCTGCCATCCGTGCACTCATATAACAAATCCAGTCCAATCCAATAGTACATTCTCTCTAGTCTAACAGCTTAGATTCTACTTCCTTTCATATCACCCATACTTCTGCCAACAGTAAGCTGGAAAAATCTTCCAATTATTTGGCACTCCCTCTCAGGTGATACTTTTCTTTCATTCCCCGGGTCTTCTGGAGTTTCACTACAGGAAGAAATCAAGGTTCGTGGGCATTAAGGACAATCCACATTCCCTTGCAGAGTGACAGCTTCAAGAATAATGTGTGCAGCTGTAGGTAATACATTTTGACATAGTTTTCTGCTCTATTATACTTATAATCAAACATTTTTTCTCCCCCTGTCCATGAACACTGGACTTATATTTTATTTATTTTTTTCTTACACAAATGGCTGCTATAAACCTTTTGGAACACATCTTCTAGTTTTCATGCAAGAGTATCCCCAACATGTATGTGCAGGAGTGTGGGCTACACAATTTTTTTTTTGAGACAAAGTCACTTTTTCACCCTGGTGGGAGTGCAGAGGCACGATCTTGGCTCACTACAGCCTCTGCCTCCCAGGTTCAAGAGATTCTTCTGTCTCAGCCTCCTGAGTAGCTGGGATTACAGGCACCCACCACCATACCAGCTAATTTTTGTATTTTAGTAGAGATGGGGTTTCACCATGTTGGCCAGGCTGGTCTTGAACTCCTGACCTCAGGTGATCTGCCTGCCTCAGCGTACCAAAGTGCTGGGATTACAGGCATAAGCCAATGCATGTAGCCAGGGTTACATAATTTTTAGCTGTATAAATAATGCCAAAATATTTTCCAATGTGTCATACCAATTTCCATTCCTATCAGCAGCATATGAGAGTAACTTGCTAAATATTTTTGGTGTCATTTTCTGTCATTTTTTTTTTTTTTTGCCAAGCTAGTGAGGTCAAAATGACATCTTATATTATTTTGCATTTCTGTGATTAATAATGACCTTTGCCCCTCTTTTCATATGGGTTGGTCATGGGAATATTTTGGGTGATGGAGAAGCCTTGGCAGGTTTTGTGGCAGAGACAAATCCAACTCAGTCATGCTGCCTGGAGTCAGGCCTTCAGAAATTGAAATTAGTGGCAGGGGTTTTAGTCTTAAAGATCTTAGAGATTCTCAACAATACAAAGTGCCTCCCGTCCTATATAAAAATGGGCAATAATTAAAATCCAGTACATTTTAATGTTTGTGAATATACACATAAAACAAATTAACCTTAATAACTGGTGGGAAAGATTGGCAGCACAGGACAATGCACAACAAATTGGCAGGCACTAAGGTAGAATACCTTTTAAAACAGAAAGACCAAATCTGTCCCTTTCTGATGTACATCTTCAGTTCTGGGTCAAGAGCTAGTGGTGGAGGTCAAGACCAAGGTCAACCTAAGGAGTCCACAACAGTATGCATCAATGGAAATGCTGCAGAACAGACAGACATGGAGGAAGGAGTGAAAAAGCTCTTGTGACCACCAGCACCTGCCTTCACTGCCTAGGGAGTCCCATCTCCTTACAGTAAAGGCTGTGCAAATTCTCTGGGATTTTTACTTAGTAACCTGATATTCTGGCAACAGTCAGACACCTGAATTAACTACAGTAAATATTCCACTCCCAACCCTCATACATAAACCTGGTTGTGCTCACAGCCTACTGCCTCACTGCTGTGATGTCTTGGACAGCTGCTGAAGTAGGATTTTGAAGACAGACCAGGGCCCTTCTCTACATCCCCAATATCTCTGCCTCTCAAGTCCAGTCAGGTTATAAACACATGGCAGGAAGAGTAAACCATGAACAGCTGTGAACTCTGCTAGTTCACTGAGTAGCAAATAATGTCAACACTCAAAATATGGCCACCAAAGTTCTCTTCTGTCACAACCAACATAGCCTGTGGTGAAAATTGCTGATGCATAAAGATATGAGGTATGAGACAACATCTATTCACTACATAGCACAGGTGAGAGAGAACTATGAAGAAACCCCTTTCCCTCACCACATCCCAGGATGACATGTAAATATGCCACTTATTCTTTTCTCTTGTGAGGACAGTAAGCATGACTAAACACAGTAGCTCTCTGGAAAGCACAAGAATAAAGGAGACTTCAGAATGAGTTGTAAGGTATCTATGATGCTTACTAAGCAGAGTTCACAATTGTCCTTTTTAATGTCAGTCTCCTTGTTTTGAGAATGCTTCAGGTAACAAAGGCCTGTGTCAGCAGTAAGGATCATGGTGAGATTCTCAGAAGGCTGAACCTCTGCTGGTACAGGCATGAAACTCCTCCAGAAATGGCTTTTCATTAAGAAACTAAAAATGCCGTTCTCCTCTCAATTTTAATGTAATTGCTTAAGAAGTCAGGAGAGGCCAGTGCAGTGGTACACATCTCTAGTTCTAGCTAATCAGTAAGCTAAGGCAGAACTGCTTGAGCCCAGGAGTTAAGGTTACAGTGAGCTATGATTGCAGCACTACACTTCACCCTGGGCAACACAGAGTGGAAAGAAAAGAAAAGGAAAAAAAAGGAAAAGAAAAAGAAAAGTGAAGGGAAGGGAAAGGGGAAGGGGAAGGAGAAGAGGAAGGGGAAGGGAAAGGGGAAGGGGAAGGGAAGCGGAGGGAGAGAGAGAAAGAGAAAGAGAGGGAAAGAAGAAAGAAAGAGAGAGAAAGAGAAAGAAAAAAGAAAAGAAAAGAAAGAGAGAGAGAAAGGCAAGGAAGGAAGGAAGGGAGGGAGGGAGGGAGGGAGGAACCAAGCATATGATTGCTCTATGCCAATCATCAAATACATCAGAGACCATCTAGCTCCCAACCAACATTAATGCCATCACCAAGCCAAGTAATTAGGTAAATTTCTGATTTGAATAGAAAACATTAAAAACTGTAATAAAATTCAGCATAATTTGGATGAAATATTTAATGGAATATAAAAACATATTCCAAACTGATAAGGTTAATCTGGAATGTTTTAGCCATAAAAGCTAAATCAGGATTTGAAAAAATACTGAGGTTCTTAGTTAAGTAAACACCTCCATTGTATGTAAACAGGAGTAAAACAAAAAATATATATTATTTTCTAATTTGGTTCTCTAATCATGGGCCTCGAGAAAGACACTGAGACAGCTTCCTAACCCTTTTGTCATCTCTTAATGGAACCTCAAAAAAGACATCCTTGGGGGAAACGGAATTTCTTTTTCCACCTTTTTAAAAGTTCTTCTCTAGAAGAAGTTATAACTGCTAAAAAAGCTCCAAGTCCCCGGCTCAGCCTTCAGCCAAGAGAGCTGGGTGAGTTAATACTGAGTTTTGACTTAACTTCAGGAGATTAAGGTTTCCAGCCACCTCAGGAAAAGACATGAACTCTGTTCTTGCATTGGAACATAGCTATCTGTGATGATTAAGTAAAGCCATAAGCCACAGGCTCCCACTTTTGGGCATTTTCCTTATTTTTCTTCATAACAACACATGTAGAAGACCCATCTACCAAATCCTGTTTAAGTAAACTGTACAATTTCCCATTTTGAATTAGTTGGATGTACTGAGCCAGCCACAAGGCTGCAAGTCCCTTGCTGGCAGTGTCTTAACTCTTGGAAACCTGGAGGTGCAGTACAGTGTTATTTGACTTTTTAGCAAGGTCTCGACTATTTTAATCTACATATAAGACTCACCTTAACAAACTTTTGCTTGTAGTCATGTTTCTTGTCTGTTGGGAACAGTCCCTAAGCCTGGCATAAACAGGATATCTATAGCACTGTGACACCCTCATGATGGCAGTGATGCACATTGCTAGTGGTTGTTGGTTTACTGGAGTGAGGGAAAGAAATACCTGACCTGCTCTTTGGTAAAAGACTGCTCAGAGTGCTTCTGAACCACGAACAATAGCATGAGCAACCCATGCCTTAACAACTCGTTCCAGCTGCAGTAAACATGCCAGAGCCTGTTTCTTGCCACTAGTAAAGAATACTTTGTTCTCTGTAAAGAATGCTTTAGTTAAATGATGATTATCACTTGCTTGCTGTAAATAAATGTGTGGGTCACTCTGTTGGGGCTCTCAGTTGGGAATGCTGTGGCTCCCTGTCATCCCATACCTTTTTGCTATCTCTGTGTCTGTTTCTTAATTTCTTCAGTGCCACCTGGTTTGGGGTCTCCACAACTGAGCTGGCCTCAGCACTCCTCTCTGTGAATTACCTGATGTTGACAAATAACACTTTTGAAGCTTAAGGTATCGTACTCCTCATAACAGAATAAAAAAAGTTTTGAGGAGGCCAAAGAAAACCCCAGCCTGGTTCCATCACACTTGGAAGTGCAAGGATCTCAACTACTTTCCTTGAAGTTGAAATAAATTATAAAGAGAAAGAATGCGGGAGGTGGAGGGAAGAGGGAAAGAGGGAAAGAGGGGAAGGGGAAGGGGAAAGGGAAGAAAAAAGGAAGAGCAAGTGGTCAAGTGAAATACCTAACTGCATCTTAAGGTCTGGTGCTATGAAAAGCATCTAAATAATTAAGTTTCACCTATCTACAGGACTCAAGAAGGGGGCCCATCCTCTGAATCTGAGGGAAGATGTGTTATCGTGGAATTATTACTATATACTTAACCAGCCTGTCTTTAGTTAGCAGCTCACTGGGAGAGTTAAATACTTTAAGAGCTGAATCTCCAAAAGGCAAACCATGACTCTTTCCTCACCAGCATGACTCTCGTATAATCTATAACTCTGAATAATTTATAAACTAATCAGTTACTCTCCACTGTGAACCGTACACTGTTGAATAAAAGATGACTGTGCACTAGAGTTCCCCACACTACATTCATAGGTTTGCTCTCTTATGTGAACTGTATGGATTTTCTCATGACTAATAAGAGTTATTCTCTGACCGAAGGTTTTTCCACATTGATTACATGTATAAGGTCGCTCCCCACTGTGAATTCTCTGATGTCGAATAAGGTGAGAGCTTTGTCGGAAGGATTTTCCACATTTGGTGCATACATAGGGTTTCTCTCCAGTGTGAATTCTCTTGTGTTGGATAAGGGATAAGCGTGCACTGAAGGATTTCTCACATTCACTGCACATGTAGGGTTTCTCTCCAGTATGAATTCTCTGATGTTGGATAAATTGTGAATGCTGACTGAATGCCTTGCCACACTCACTACATTCATAAGGTTTCTCACCAGTATGAATTCTGTGATGCTGAATGAGAGAGGAGCGAACATTGAAGGCCTTCCCACAGTCACTGCACTCATAGGGATTCTCTCCAGTGTGAATTCTTCGATGGCGGATAAGGTGTGCACTCTGGCTGAAGGCCTTCCCACAGTCACTGCACTCATAGGGCTTCTCTCCATTGTGGGTTCTCTCATGCTTAATTAGGGTGGATATCTGTCCAAAGGTTTTCCCACACTCATTACACTCATAGGGTTTCTCACCAGTGTGACTCCTCTGATGCTGAATAAGGTGTGACCCCTGGCTAAAGGCCTTCCCACATTTGTGACACTCATAGGGTTTCTCTCCATTATGTATTCTCTGATGTTGAACAAGGGAAGAAAGCACACTAAAGGCTTTATCACATTCATTACATTCATAGGGCTTGTCACCATTGTGTGTTCTTTGATGGTGAATAAGATTAAAATTCTGGCTGAAAGCTTTTCCACACTCACTACATTCATAGGGTTTCTCTCCTGTGTGAATTCGCTGGTGCTGAATAAGATGTCCCTTTTGACTAAAGGTTTTCCCACATTCACTACAACCATAAGGTTTCTCTCCAGTGTGAATTCTCTGATGCTGGATAAGGGATAGACGAGCACCAAATGATTTTCCACACTCATTGCAGGTATAAGGCTTCTCACCAGTATGAATTCTCTTATGTTGAATAACTTGTGAGCACTGACTAAAGGATTTTCCACATTCATTGCACCTATAAGGTTTCTCTCCAGTGTGAATTCTCTGATGGACAGTAAGAGTTCGGTTCAGGCTAAAAGATTTTCCACATTCATTACATTCATAGGGCTTTTCTCCTGTATGAATTCTCTGATGCTGAGTAAGAGATAATCGTGCACTGAAGGCTTTGCCACACTCATTACAGTCATAAGGTTTCTCTCCAGAATGAATTCTCTGATGCTGAATAAGGTGTGATTGTCTGTTGAAGGCTTTCCCGCATTCTTTGCACTTGTAAGGCTTTTCTCCACTATGAATTTTCTGATGATGAATCATATTAGAGCTATGACTAAAGGCTTTCCCACACTGATTACACTCATGAGGTTTCTCTCCTGTATGAATTTTTAGATGTTGCATATAAGATAAATGCGTACTAAAAGCTTTCCTACATTTAATACACTCATACGGTTTTTCTCCAGTGTGAATTTTACAATGCTGAATAAAGTATAAGTGAGCACTGAAAAATTTGCCACAATCCTTACATGTGTAGGGTTTCTTACCAGTGTGGATTCTCTGATGTTTACTGAAGACAGAGGGCCTACTGAAAGCTTTTCCACATTCATTGCACTCATAGGGCATCTCTCCACTATGAATTCTCTGGTGCTGGTTAAAAGCTCTGTTCTGATGGAAAGTTTTTTCACATTCAGTACACTCAAAGGGTCTCTCTGGATTATTCATCCTCTGATTCTCACTAAGAACTGAACTCTGTCTGGGTACTTTCACTAACACATCTGTCTGACAGGCTCTTTCCCCTAACTGGAAACTCTCGAGGTTAATGAGGTCCTCATGTTGTTGCAAGTTTTCTACACTTGACACACTTGGATCGAGACTGTCCTCTCTAGACACTTTAAGATGTTTGGCAAGATTTGAGTCTGTAATGCAGTTTTCTCCAACAGTATTGAATTTCTGGCCATTCTCTCCAGAGAGGGTTTTCACACACCTCATAATAATTGCTCTGAAACTGCTCTTCTGTGAGAAAGAGTTCTTAATTCCTTCCACTGCATATTTTCTCCACCAGTTCTCTAACTTTCCCTCAGTTTGACTCATCTCTTTAGCTTCCTTAAAATTATTCCTTATATAATCTTTTAATTTTGCTGTCTGGGATTCCATTTCTTCAGAAATGTCCTGCTTTGGAATGAATTCTTTTTTTTCAATCCTAGAATCACAGCCTGAAAGAATGGGGAAAAAGAAGTGAGTCACTCACATTTTACTATGAGAGAAAGAATTAGAAAATAATCAGGAATATTTACGTCAAACAAATATTTTCCAGGATAATACTGGAAGGAGACAAAATAAATGTGAACAAAATGAGATGGGCAGATCACTGAGAATGCAAATTTTAAAAAGTAACATATATGACCCAATTGGGAAGAGGAAAAAGAGAAGCATGCTGGTAAAGCAATGAACACTGGTGTGGAAAGGAAGAAGGAAGGTAATATGCCCAAGGTCAAAGCTTAAATCTGCAACTGACCAGGAACACATGGCATAGGAAAAGCAAGATCTGAGAAAGGATTTGAGGAGTGTTACCAGGAAGGAGGAAGTGGAGGCTGCCTCCACTATTCATGTCATTGCTGCATAATTCATAAACAAGGTATCTTCTTATGGCTTATACACAGAGTAGTCAAATATTTGTTGAAAATAAATAATAAATGATGCATAAAGAATGAGGTGTACACGAGTGCAATAGATAGAAAAAAACACCATTTGATCTGGACAACTTACAGAAAAAAAAAAAAAAAAAAAAAAAAAAAAAAAACAAAAAAAAAAAA